CCAAAGAGGAGTTGCAAAGTATGGTCAAGGACGTGCTTGACCACATGACTCAAAGATTTAGGACGATCCTCAAGGGGATGGCTGGTATCACCAAGGTTATGAAGCTGATGTCCGTGAGACTGGAAGCTGTGGAGAAGATGGTTGGTATCACCAAAGCAGGGACATCATCTCAGGATAACACTCAACCCAAAGAACCTGGGGTTAGTAACAAATCCTCTCCCAACAAGGTCGTCCAGACGACTTATAATTAAGTCGTCCAGAGATAACTAGTCGTCCAGACGACTTAAAAGTAAGTCGTCAAGACATAACTAGTCGTCTAGACGACTTAAAAGTAAGTCGTCCAGAGATAACTAGTCGTCTAGACGACTTAATTTAAGTCGTCCAGTGTTTATAATGTGCTATTTACTGATTTGGATCTTGTATATTGCAGAGTGAAAGTGTGGCAGAAGTTGCAAAATCGAGTGATGCAAAAGCTGGAAAACAGAGAGATAAAGAACCGAGGGAGGGAAAAGTTCAAAACCGAGTGAGGCTCCAGTTGCAAAATCAAGTGATGCAAAAGCTGCAAAACCGAGTGATGCAAAAGCTGGAAAACCGGTTGAGGTAAAAGTTGCAAAACCGGTTGAGGCTCCAGTTGCAAAACCGGTTGAGGCTCCAGTTTCAGAACCGAGCATTGTTCCACATTCAGAACAGAGCGTTGTTCCAACTTCAGAACAGAGCCTTGTTCTATTGGAAAAAACAGCTGCCACTGCTTCGGACATACAGCGGCGAGATGCTCGATATAAACAGAAGCTGGAGGCTTCTATTGCAACTAACCGTTTAAAGAGTGAACGAGAAAAGAAACTTGCTGCCACACGAAAATCTCCGTATAGAAGCACGGCCAAGACCATCATCCAAAAGAAAAAGAAAGGTCTAGCCTATCATCCATTTCCCCCACTAGACAAGCCTAAGTTGAAGGAACTTGTTGACTGGTTGAAAACTGATCCGTAAGTGATTGATTTACCCATAATAGCTTGATTTAGTCTACCAAAACTGATTGCTTTTGTGTTTGCAGGGATTATTTCACAAAGCTCGAGGATAAACCGCGTACATCACCAACTAGGTGGTTTTCTGTCCTCCGGAAACACTTAGAATGGCTGGAAGACGCAGTAAGTCTTCTGCAATAACTTGGAAGATTTAATTATAAATTGTCTACAAAGTAGTCCACGTAGATGACTTACCAGACGACCCACTGATAAGTCGTCTGCGTAGATGACTTATCACTAGGTCGTCTGGTAAGTCGTCTACAAAGTAGTCCACGTAGACGACTTACCAGACGACCTACTAATAAGTCGTCTGCACAGATGACTTATCACTAGGTCGTCTGGTAAGTCGTCTACGTGGACTACTTTGTAGACGACTTACCAGACGACCTACTGATAAGTCGTCTTCGCAGACGATTTTGTAGACGACTTAAATTTAAGTCGTCTGATATCTTCTGCTTGTATTATGGTATCTTCTGACTTGTATTATTTTATATGCAGCATATAGATGCTTGGATTAATGGTCTGAGGAAGAGGTACCAGGATAATCCACAAGCTTTCAGGAGAGAGAGAATGTGCTTCCTTGATCACAACTTTTCTCAAACTTGGAGAGCCCAATACGATGATTTTGTCCAGGCGAAGGGCGATTGGAGGGGTTTAGGAAGAAGACTCCCTGGTGGGCGTGGCATTACTATGACGGATCAATACCTTCATTTTGCCAATCGAACAAGACTTGGGGTGAGGAGATTGATGATATCTACGCGCCAGTGAACTTGGACAACGTTCATTGGATTGCTATCTGGATATCGATCCCTAACAAGCACATAGTCGTCTGGGACCGCATACCTTCCAGTACGTCCCAAGAAAGACTCGAAGAGATAATGAAGCCTTTTTGCGAGATGCTCCCTTATACGCTAACCGAGTGTGCTACCAGTGACGAAATACGGGTCAAATACGGGTTGGAGCCATACACATTTGAGAGAATTAAGGAAATACCCATGGCCAATAGTGGTGATTGTGGCGTGTACGCTCTAAAGTACATCGAATGTCATGCTCTTGGGGTCCCCTTTTCTAAACATCATTTTGCTAGGTCCAACGCGAAGCAAATGAGGGATAAGATGGCAATCGATATATTTACGGAGCTTCCTGACCAGCATCTGAAAGAAAACGTGGATGCTGATAAGTTCGTGGGCTTGTATGATTTTGTATAGATTAGGCTGATGCTTGTATTTGAACTTAATGATGTGTTTGTATGATGGACAACTTATCTTTCTATATATTAACCTTTTAAAATTAAGTCGTCTTATAATCTTTTGATTGTGAAATTTGACAAAGAAGTTAATACATAGCCTAAACACTAGACGACATAATTGTAGGTCATCTGGACGACTAACCAACACTAGACGACTTAACTTTAAGTCGTCCAAAAGACTAGGTAACAGTGGACGACTTAACAACACTAGAAGACTTAATTATAGGTCGTCTGGACGACTAACTAACACTAGACGACTTAAATTTAAGTCGTCCAGACGACTAGGTAACAGTGGACGAATTAACTAACATTAGACGACTTAATTATAGGTCATCCGGACGACTAACCAACACTAGACGACTTAAATTTAAGTCGTCCAGACGTCTAGGTAACACTAGACGACTTAATTATAGGTCGTCTGAACGAGTAAACAACAATAGACGACTAAACATAAAATATAGGAAATGAAGATACAATATAGATAAATACATCATACATCCATCAAATCCAACTCGTAGGACGGATTTACCCTAATAATAAATATAAAATATTTATTTTGCAAAAAGTACGGATCTTAACCTAAGTATGTATCTCTTTAATTATTTTAAATCTTAAGCAGTATCTAAACCTTAGGCCAAAACAAAGAAACGAAATGAGAATAAACTTCAAAATCAATATTTATATTGAGCAATAACCAAAATGAAAAATACACAAAAAGAGAAAAATATTGAAGATATATAGGATTAACATGTGAACATAAACTTCTCACAACCATACTTAATTTTTAAATTGCTAAATTATGATATAAAACCGAGCTGGCATAGTTTCATTGTAACCAAATAGATCCGAGATTTTTTGACATAAACGTTAGGTTCTTTGCGACAAGTGATATTTTGACCTAAAATATTTTTTTAAAATGCAATCAGCTCATCAGCAAAAAAAATTATGTAATTAACAAAAATTTTAAAAAAAAATGTTTAAAGCCAAAATATAATTCAATCAAGAATATATATTTATTTTCCGATATAACATTATCATACGCAAGGCGTAGGTCTTATCTTAGTCTTTCATTACTCTAGACAGTTTTATAAAAAAAAAATTTCCTAGCTCCGGGCAGCATTTTATGTTAGCACGGCCCTGAAGCTAAGCATGTTAAATGAATCGAAAATACAGAACTAAAAGCACCATAGCACCACTCTGCCGTATGGCAACACCAGATTAGTTTGAATTGTCCTTACTGAACACATAAAAATATTAGAGAATTAAGAGTTTGTTCTAATATATTTGAAACTTATACATATATAGTATAGATAGAAAGACTGAGCTCGGCAAGATTAATCACCTTGAAGTCCTACACTTTGTGCTGAAGATTTTAGAAAGATATGAAGAGGAGAAGGAGACGAGAGAGGAATATTTATTTTGCTTTTGTTGTGGGATAGTTGTGTTACCGGCAGCAGACGGTGGCAACATATTATGCAACTTTTATTACTGAGATGACGTTGTAATTTACATAAACGTCCACCAGACTTCTATTACATTTGAGATAAATATAAATATCTAAATATCATTTGGGATAAGATATAGTGAGTATGATCAGTATTTCCAATAGTGAGAAAATAGTACGTGAATTTATGGGATGGGACACATGAGCTGTTTTATTCTTGGGACTTAATAGCAGAAATCTAACATACATGGATTATAAAATTCAGGATAATTACATTCTGATAAAATCTTAAAGCACTTTTATTGTCAAAATTAGGATATTCGGAATCATCCTGAATATAGTTTTGATTTATATAATATCAAGTTATATGATCTGAATATTCAAAATTGCCGACAAGGAAAAAGAAATATTAAAACTTTGAAAATATTAGATACAATCTTGGAGCAGATATCGAATCTACTATACATTTGTACGTATATGCAGTTTGTGAGATGCGGACAAATGTGAACAGGATGGGTGATTTCTGAATATCATGCAACTTGGATTATCAATCCCTTTTCATCCATTTTTTTTTAAAGAGTAGTCTTTATCAAGCAACCATAATCCATTTTTTTTTGAAATTTTCTCTGTTTTAAAACTATTGGTACGTTTTGGGATATGTAATTTTTTCAAATCTGAGTTGAAGTTTGGACTCCATTAGCAATTGGTAGTAGCTAATTTGTTTTTAATTCATTAGCTTTGCTTAATTTTGATTAAACTGTATTGGTGGCTTCTAGTTTGTAGTGATATCTCTTACTGATATATTATATTGCATCAATTGTGCTCAAAAGATACGAAACCATTTTCATAACTTTTCCTGAATGTATATAGTTATGATAATTGATAGAACTGAAGCTGCTACCATGTTCTGATGAAGAGATTCCTTAATCTATTTTTAGCAGCGCTATTGAAGCCTTTCTTCAATTAACCCATAACGAACTCGTCGACAAGTTATTTTGTTCTGAATTTGCTTGGTTACTTTTACTGCAACTTTCGAGTCATTTCAGGGCCTTATCTAAGAGTTGTTCTAATTATGGCCAAAACTAATTATTAGAGATAGAAGACTTGAAGTTGAAGATTCCCTGATTTAGACTATAGTTTGAAACAATAGTAACATTGACTAAAAAGTTGCTGTTTTACTAGATAATTTGTGTTGAAAGATGGATTCCCCAAACATTTTTCTTATTGATAAGGATAAAAGATTACTTGAAAATGTTACATTTTGGACAATGGAAATATAAATGTTTTAAGTCCACTGGGTAATGATCGGGATGAGCTCAAGTGGAACTTTCTTAGGACAGACAAGTCCATATGATTCTTCAAGATCAACATCTTCTGCTTTCATTCCAAGCGGAAGCTTCCAATCAAAACGGTAAAGGAGATTGATAAGAGTCAAGTGTACCAAAGCTAGACCCATACCCATACCAGGGCACATCCTCCTTCCACTACCAAACGACAACAATTCAAAGTTAAGACCTCTATAGTCGATCTCTTTGTCCAAAAACCTTTCAGGGATAAAAGCGTCTGGATCTTTCCAAACACTTGGATTCCTATGGACAGCCCAAACGTTGACATGGATCCATGTTTTCTTCGGAATGTCATATCCCCCGATCTTTAAATCTTTTAAAGCCTCTCTAGGAACTAATAGAGGCAAAAGTGGATTTATCCTTAATGTTTCTTTGATCACCATTTTGAGATACGCCAGTTTCTCTATATCTTCTTCTGTGATATCGTCTTTGTGTTTGATCACTTCTCTCATCTCGGCTTGCACTTTTTTCATAACTCTTGGGTTTGTAATTAAATGTGTCATAACCCATGTTGCAGTGTGAGCAGAAGTGTCTATTCCACCGGCAAGAATATTCTGTAATAAGTAATAACAAACAAAAATTAGAAAATGGTATTTTAAATGGTGTTTTAATTTTAAAATTTTTTCATTACTTACCCGAAGAATTCCTTTAGTGTGGTTTCGAGTAAGTTGAAACTCTCCAAGTCCAGTCTCTCCCCTTTCCATTTTGAGGAGCAAGTGAATGATATCATCTTTAGTACCCTCATCGTCCAAATGTTGTTGTATAGCTTGATCAAAAAACATATCCACTGCTTTAAAAAGCTTCTCACATTTGCTATGTAACCCTGTGAGCCTATCGATTAACCCACCAACAATGGGGAAGAAATCAGCTGCTGCGAAACTCCCGCCAACCTCCATGATCCCTTGAATTACTTTGTCATAAGTATTCTCAAGGTTACTCCCTTCAAGAGTTATCCCAAATCCAAGTCTACAAATCACACTTGCTGACAATTTCATAAGCTTGAGGTTGAAGTTAACCTGTTTCTCCAATGAGGCAGATTGTTTGATGAAATCGACGAAAGACGCAACTTCTTCTTGTCTGATATGTCCAAATGACTTCACCCTTTTCGCAGTGTAGAGTTCGACAACAGTCATCTTTCGCAGTTCCCTCCAATATTTGCTATACGGAGAAAAGGCAAGATCTTTGCGATTGTATGTAAGCCTTGCAACGTAAGTCATATAAGGTCGTGAACAACAATCAACGTCGAACGTTTTCAAGAACTCTTTCACCGTCTCTGGAGTTGACGCCACAACGGCATACACATTTCCGAACTTGAGGGAGATTAGAGATCCATATTTTTCAGATAATTTGAACATGGAACGGTGAGGTTTTGATCCCAACTGGTGCAAGTTTCCAATTATAGGAAGTTTTGGTGGTCCAGGAGGTAGATTTCTCTTTGTCTTTCTTGTGTTCTTTGCAATGAATATAGATGCAAAGAAGACGAATGCAACAATGATATACAACATACTCATTTTGTGTTCCTACGAAATAAAAAAAAGGATAATTTATACAAATTTATATTTGATAATTTGAAAAGAAATAAAAATAGCAATTTTAAAAATAACTGATGAAGCGAAATTGTAAATCTAAAACTGAACAATTAAAGAAATCATTTACTTATTAACTCAATCTGCTTTCTTTTAAAAAAATAGCTTATATCAGTGAAATTAAAATTGTAGATAAACGAGAAGTTAGCCAAGAGATAAACTTTTAGAGTATCTAAAAATAATCTAGAAGATCACAGGTATAAATCTGGTTAAGAGATTTTTTCTTTCGAAGAAAAAATCAATTTAAGATAGTTTGAGTTTTGATTTAAAAAAAGTACATACCTAAAGAACTAAAACCTCCTAGTCATTAATGGATATAAGACCACCTCCATCGCTGGTTTTTATGGGGTTCATAAGCAAGGCCCGAAATCCTTTTGGATTATTTAAACAATAAAATGGGCCGAAATTTTAAGAGTTGCCCCTTGAAAAAGGAGTTTTTGGACCCAGGTTCATAGCTACGTGGCGCAGTGCCATTCGTTCTCTCTTTTATTTCGCGAGACACATCAAAAAAAAACGCAGACTCTCTAACAAGGCAACACGAGAAGACTTCTAAACTTCTTTGCACGATTAACTAGGTATATGCTAGTTGACTCGATCTGCTTTCTAAAAAAGTAACTTATAAACTTTTAGATTACCTAATTAGAATATAAAAGACTACATGTATAAATCTGGCTAAGAGATATTTTCTTTCGAAGAAAAATTCAATTTAAGATAATTTGAGTTTTGATTTTAAAAATATACATGCCTAAAGAACTAAAACCTCCTAGTAAAACTGGGTATCTAAAACCACCAAAACGCAGACTCTGTCGCAAGGCAACACGAGAAGACTTCTAAACTTCTTTGCACCATCAACTAGGTATATGCTAGTTTTCTTTAGAAGGTTATACTACTTTCATTTCATATTAATTGTTGTCGTAGAGAAAAATTTACGTTACAAAATAAGTGTTGTTTTAAAATTGGAAATGCAAATTTATTAATTTTATTTTCCTATTTATTTTTCTATTGGTTGAAATATAGTTAAGTGTAAGATAATAATTTTTTTATTTAAAAAAATATGTAAAATTAAATGTTTTTTTAATCTGCATATTTAAAAAAACACTTAAAATGAAACAGATGAAATATATGCTAATTTAAAAGCATTTGCCTGAGTCCAAATCTGGTAAAAACATTATAGTTTGGGGAGTCTGATCCGGTTCTAAAAAATTATAAAGCTATGTTATAACACGCTAATTTAAAAGCATTTGCCTGAGTCCAAATCTGGTAAAAACATTATAGTTTTGGGAGTCTGATCAGGTTCTAAAAAATTATAAAAGCCATGTTATAACACTAAAGTCTATTTAAAATAAACAGGAATATATTTATGTAATACAACGAAATTTTAAATCTCAAAGATTTTTTAATTTAAATAGTTTTAGTAAATATCTTAAATACTCATTATAGGCTTATAGCCATTCCCAAAGATTTACCACTTTTCTAAGTATATTTACTCTAGGATATTAAGATGCGGAAACTCCATATTTCAAGGTGTAAGAGAAATTGGAAGTCATATACTTTACCCACCACTACTAGAACCCACCACTACTATAGCAGAAAGATACATGCAACTTTCGAATAAGTAAAGAAATAGAGTAAAGATACATGCAAATTTAGAAGTAAAACTACCTCGAGAAGTGTTGTAAAATCGCCGTCCCCCAGTTATTCAATTAGAGTTTGTACTTCCTGATAGATTTTAAAGCAGAGAGAGCTTTCTTTTATAAACAAAATTCAGAACTTCATTCTTTCTTCCATAAGAAGCTTGGAGGAAAAAACAACACGGAAACTGCCATGTTATAGGCACTATTATTTAGGTGTTATTTTAGTCATTTAGTTGATCAAAAAAAGAAGAAGCCGTATATAAAAACATTTAAGAGTAATTAGAGAAAGACCATGTTATGTGGTATTATTTTAGTCATTTAGCTGTATATATATATAATTAAGAGTAATTAGAGAAATACTATGTTAGGAAGTATTATTTACATATTATTTTGGCTCAATTTAATGTATTATTTTGTTTTATTAAACAGACCAAGTCATTCTTTAATGTACAATTTTCATTTCAACATTTTATGTCATATTAGCTCATGGCATGGCACGGCATGTTAGATCAAATGTCTTAATTTTAGTTAGGGTATAATTGTCATATACAACTTGCTTGATCGAGTATAAATGTCTTAAATTTTTAAAATTTCTCACCGCTACGAACCATCATCTCAAAAAAATATTAAAAATAATGTATCCATATAAGGAATTTAATAAGATATTAAACAATAAGAAAAATAGCATAAAAACTTTTAAAGTAACATTCACTAAAACTTTAAACTTTGAATTTATTTAGCTAGCATATTAAATATTCAATTTGATTTTTATATCATAAAAACTTTTAATTTGGCTTACTTGATCAGAAAATAAAAAATGTGACCTAATAACTATGATAGTAATAGGTGACGTATTAGCGGACAGTCTTAATATAATTTCCAGTTTAAGAAAAAGTATATATCTGTCATATAAGCATGCAATTTATCATCTTAAAGTTATATTAATGACTTTAATATCGGTATGTCGATCCATATTGGCAAATCCAAATTATTTATATTTGTAGGTTTCCGTAAGAATCAAGTTTATTACATTTTTACCAAACAAAAAAAGTTAATTACGTTGTCCGCTCCAGTTTGCAGATAATATTTTTTGCTGGTTTCTTCTCAACAATATTTGATACTATGGTTTTTTAATCTAGTCTTTTTAATACTATGCAAATCAAAATAAATCAATTATCAATTAATGTTCATTTGCTGAGTAACCAAATTGGAGATAGACATTAACAAAATGTCACTGATTTTGACATAACAAATAAACTAACATTTAAAACACAGTTGATCCAGTTATATCCCTTTTATTTACAGTTATAGTTACCAAGAACAAGTCCAAAAGAAAGGAGGAGCTTCCCACTTTGTTTATTGAGTACTTATATATGCGCCGTGTGTTCTATTCTATATCACCGAAGTAGTATATGACTCAAACCACACCCACAATTCATAGACCGTCAATGTATTTTCATAATTATCTTTGAAATTTGAAATTTATCTTCTTTTTCGAATAAAAAATAGACCATCAATGTAGTTTTTTGCTCATTCTCGTCTAAAATCGTAAATGGACTTTTGCCACGCCTTTTGGCCACCGTTTTTTTGACTTAAGCATTATTACGATTTCCTTCTGAGAAATCACCTTTGGTACGATGTTGGTTCTATTAGATGGTGAAAACCTAATCATATAGTTGAGATAGGAATGGTGTCAAGTTAACAATTATCGTTTTATACGATTGATTTGATTTCATACGAGAAAATAAGTATTTGCTAATTTTGTCGTTAAGTTTCAACGGTAACTTTAATCGAGACAAAACAAAAGACAGTTCGGTCAAGACTCGAAGGAGAGAGCTATGACGGTGAGACGAGAGCGCGAGATGTCACCTTGTGGCGACTTGATGTCGATGAGGTGAGGTCGACTATTAGCAACCTGAAGGGACAAGGTCCTGGTCATCTGCTGACGATCTGGATAGACCAGATCCCGATCACTTGTTGGTGACCTGGAAGGACCAGTTCTGGTCGCCTGCTGGCAACCTGGACAGACTAGGTCTCGGTCGCCTGATGACAACCTGGATGGACCAGTTCTGGTCGCATGTTGGCGATCTAGACGGACCGAGTCCTGGTCGTTTGCTGACCTGGATGGACTGAGTCATGGTCGCCTAGTACCTAGATGGACCGAATCCCGGTCACCTGTTGGCGACCTGAAGGGAGGTAAGGATGATTGCCTGGTGGTGTGATGAACCATAGACAATGAAATGATGAGAAGTCAGGACTTGACCTTTTTCTCGTTTCGTCATTCTCTTAGAGGCAGTTTGTTAAGAGATCAAACAATTTTATCGAGAATTTGTTGCTCAATTCTTTTTTGAATTATACGAAGTTTTAGTTACCTTTTCATATTTTTTGAGAAAAAAAATTTCTTGGGAGCTTTTAGCATTAACATCGTAGTTTTTACTTCAACAATATATTAATTATTATCATATTTAGGAACTTTACCAAAACTACAAAACAACATTTAATTTAATTATCCAAGTCATAATCAAACATAAACTATATGATAATTGTTAGTGTATTATGTTATCTTTTTAAGTGAAAGTGATTGTGGAAAAAACACAAAAAAAAATTTTGAAAAATCATTTCTCAAATAGTTTGAACTGTATCTAACATGCCATGTGCCAATATGATCTAATTCTGAAATGATTAATCACCTTAAAGAATGACTTGGTTATTTTTTTGTAAATTAAGTCTTAGTCTTTTTTTGTGTTAAAGAAAAAAAACAAAGTCTTAGTCTTTCTTATAGATTAAGCTGAGAAAAAAAAGAATACGTAAAATAATACTACCTAACATAGAACGTCTTTTGTCAACTTTCTAACATGGCACTTGGTGCGTTATTTTATGGGATCCCTTATTTTATATTCCACGTCGCTAATTGGTAGAAAGTGGAATTTGTCTATAAAAGGAAGTTCTCTCTAATTTAGAAGTCTATCAGCAAGTTCGAACTTTATAATAAACTGACGTACGGGGCTTATACAACATTTCTCGAAGGTAACCTTACCAAGCTTGGTCTCTCTATCGTATTTATATAAACTCTATTTCTTTACTTATGCGAAAGTTGTATTTATCTTTCTGTTATAGTAGTGGTGGGTAAAGTATTCGAGATCCAATCCCCTTTTCTATTCCACCTTATATAGAGTTTCCAAATTTGAATATCTTAGTGTAATTATATTTAAGAAGTGTGGTACAACTTTGAGAATATAATGAATATTTAAGATATTTATGAATGGAGAAAACAGCAAAAAAGATCCTCAA